ATAGATAGATAGATAGATAGATAGATAGATAGATAGATAGATAGATAGATAGAGGGCACAGGGTAAGTTGAAGATGAAGGGGTTCTATCTGGAGAATAAAATTAAGGGGTGAGAGAGGATTTTACTGGGAGAAGGAGAAAGGGAGTGGTAGAATGGGGTAAATTATATCACATAAAACAAACAAGAAAAGGCTTTTACAGTGAAGGGGAAATGGGGGAAGGTGAGAGGGAATGAATGAATCTATTTCTCATTGGATTTAGCTTTTTCTATCTTACCGTATAGGAAAATAGGGTAGAAGGGACAAGAGAACAAGGTGATGATAGAGGGGAGGGCAGATTGGGGGAGGTGGTAATCAAAAGCAAACACTTCCGAGGAGGGACAGGGTCAAAAGAGGGAATAGAATAAATGGGGGGTGGGATAGAATGAATGGAAATATACTTAGTTTTTCTCAACATGACTACTGTGGAATTATTTTACATGACTACCCGTGTATAACCTGTATTGAGTTTCTTGCCTTTTCAATGAGAGTGGGTGAGGAGGGAGGAAGGGAGAAAACTTGAAACTCACAGTTTTAAAAACACATGTTAAAAATTGTTTTCACATGCAACTGGGAAATAAGAAATACAGGAAATGGGGTATAGAAATCTATCCTGCTCTACAGGAAAATAGAAGGGAAGGGGATAAGAGAAGGGGGGAGTGAGATAGAAGGGAGGCCAGATTAGGGGAAGGGGTATACAGAATACAAGCCATCTTGGGGTGGGTGGAGGGATGAGATGGGGAGAAAATTTGGAACTCAAAATCTTGTGGAAGTGAATTATGAAAACTAAAAATAACTAGAAAAGTTTTCAGCGAAAAAATAAATAAAATAAAAATGAAAAATAGAATATTAAAAAAAGAAAAAAAAGTAGAATTAGCCAAGTACAAAAAGAGGTCCAAAATCTCACTGAAGGAAATAATTCCCTAAAAATTAGAATCTGGCAAGAGGAAGCAAATCATTTAATAAGAAGTCAAAAGAACTCCAATTAAACAAACTCAAAAGGAGAAAAAATAGAAGAAAATGTCAAATATCTCCTTGAGGGAAAATAACAACTGACCAGGAAAATAGATCTGGGAGGAAAAATTTAAAAATTATTGCACTACATGAAAGCCATCATCAAAGAGCCTAACCATCATATTTCAAAAAATTATCAAAGAAAACAGCCCTGATGTATTTGATCCAGAAGATAAAATAAAAATTCAAAAGATCCAACAATCACCTCTCGAAAGAGATCACAAAACAAAAAACTCCCAGAATATTACAGTCAAATTTCTTAGCTCTCAGGTCAAAGATGGAATACTTCAAGCTGTCACAAAGAAATACCTCTATTCAACCTCTATTTGCTTCAATTTCTTTGACTGTAATATATAGATAATAAAAATACCTATCTTACAGGCTGTTTTGAGGATTTAATATAACAGTATTTATAAACAGTAATTACCATGGTGCCTGGTACACATTAGATACCATATAAACGCTGATTCTCTACACCCTTCCATTTTCCATATAAATACACACACATGCATATATATATACATATAACTATGAGATATAGACACATAGGTTCATGTGATGTATAAACACATGGATACATACTTGTACAGGGAAACATAACAAGCATATTTTCAGAGAGGGACCTTGAATTCTCTTTTTGTTAAGACATTGGAAGATGTCAAAGCTGTGCAAAGGAGTCCTGCGCCAGGCTGTTTCTAGTCCTACAATTGATAGCAAGAAATGATTAGTGGTAACCAGGCCCTGTCACTCTTTGACTATGAAGACTCTACATAGTGGTATTGGACATGTATATCAGGAAAGCAGTCTAGAATTAGTAAGAAACATGATTCATTGCCCAAAAGCTCCATAGATATCACATAGAAATTGAGTATTGTACCTTCTTTCATGCATTTCTATGCATAACTATAAACACTACTGACTCATGCTGATTACTTAAAGAATATAACTAATAGCACACTTTTGAAACTTTTTCTTCATTGTTTTCCTATTTCTAGAAAGAGACACAAGAAACAAGAGTGTTGTATGATTTGTGATGAAACGCAATAACTCACAGTGCCCAATAGTTTATTTTAATAAACTATTATATAAAAGTTCAATTTTAATTTTAATAGTTTATTTCTTAAAAATAAGATTTCTTTTTAGAAAATGTGATTAATTCACCATTAAATATAACCCAACTCTACCCACCTTTGTTAAAATAAATGATGACAGATGTGGGTTGGTAGAGGGGAGAGGAAAGGAGGAGATGAGGGAGAGGGAGAGAGAAACAGAAAGAGAAAGGGGGGGGTGAATTCATTAAAAAAAACAATTCATTAAAAAAAAACATTAAAAAAATTTAAGGCAATTTGACACTATATGCAGCATTTCTGATCATGTCCTATGGGGAAAAAAGTAGGAAGAATACTAATTTTAAGTCAGACATCCAGGGTGAAAATTCTGATTATATTACCTACTTTTTTGGTCAAGATCAAGTCTCTTACATTCTGATCATTTCTTGCTGTTGTATGAAAAGAAAACAAAATACAAAGTAACACTGAATAAAATCTAAGGTTCCAGCCAAGACTAGATCATATATCAATATGTACAATGATTCAAATCACTTCTCTCTACTCACCTAAATTTCCATACTTTAAAGTTAGGAACAGCAATCATAAATACATGGATTAAAAGTGTCTCCTTCATTACATTGTATATTAACAATACATGAGATTTTTGGTTTATTTTGTTGATTTTTAGTATCTATTATATGAAATTTAAATCATGTTACCAAAAAC